TACTAGAATTACAGAATTTGTCTTCCCATAAAAGTATGATTTACAGGGGGTCCTTGACTTATATCCGGGTTTGGTTGTAAGTCGAATTTTTGCTGTAACTCAGAACCTGCATACAATAACATAGTACATATCGCAAAATATGTAGGAAGACAGAAACCGTTGGCTGGGAAACTATTGCTTTTAAATACATACGAGTTAGCCACAGCATTGTCCTCTACGATTTGGTCTGGCAAGCAGTGCCATCGGAAGACTCACTTATGATTGTGAGTCACAAGCAGTGCCACCGGAAGACTCACTTATGATTGTGAGTCATAACGAAGAACATATCACTACTGAATCTAAACAAAGCCAAAACATTACTTTCTTAATGTATACGTAAGGGGTGTGGCGACATAATGACGAAACGCCATAGGTCAAGGTCGTCGTAAACCGAGGACCTCCTGTATTATAAACATAAAATATGTGACCATTACCTTCACGCATCAATCACTAAAATCTATTCATCATACATATGCATAACATCATCTCCATTAGGAGTTTAGCAACAAACCAAAGTAAAAATACGGTGCTCATGGTGTATGGTGTTTACCCGTCCGTAGGGCAGCTTGCAGTTCTCCAGAGCGTTCTCCACTTTCTTCCTGTCCGACGAAAACAACCGTACGATACTGAAACGACCGAAAGTACATCGCAGCACATCTTAATACAGTCTTTCCACAAAAAAACACACTTGATGTGATTCTAACCTTTCACTGTAGCATTCTCTGAAGAACTGTCTGTGCTTTCAAATAAACAGAGTGACCTTAAATTAACTCCTGCTCTGCCTCTTAAACGCAGGCATCCATCAGCGCTGTGTTATCCATCTTGTTCTTTGGCAGTGGTTGATTACGAGGTCAGTGCTGAATTAAGCACCTCCATGAATCCTGTCCCTGTTTTTGCTTTCCCAAGTGCACATGGAATTGAATTTATTTTTAGGAAGTGAGGGGCAGAAAAGAATAAAGTTTAGGCCTCAAGTCTCTGCAGATTTGATTGGGCTATTTCTCACTTCCTGAGCCTCTGATTGTAACAGGAGCCTTTATGTTAATTTTAGCCAGGACCACTAATTAAAAACTATGAGTAGGAGATGATAGTAAGCTCACTTTTTGACAGGGATTCTTCCCTCAGTGTTTGGCTGGAGGGTCAGTCTGACATACCTGAAACGAAAAAGAACAAAGGTCAAATGCTTTGAAACCCTGACAGGCAGTACATAGTTTTTAAAACTTTTTTTTTTTTTTGCGCCACGAACCGGTTAAATGTCTAACAATGTTTTTACGGACCGGCCTTTAGGGTGTGGCTAATAAATACAACTAACTGAAATGATAGGACGGGCATTAAAAACTGGTATTTTCTACATTTTTTTACAGACCGGCCTTTAGGGTGTGGCGAATAAATACAACTAACTGAAATGATACGACGGGCATTAAAAACTGGTATTTTCTAAATATAACATTAAACGTTAAGCCACTGTGTATGCAACTTTATTAGCAGCGTCCTCGTAACGTCGTCTTTTAATGCAGAACGTTTGGTCTCCGAGTGGCGAAGAAGTTTTGAAGGCTTAATTGACTCATTACAGGGCCACTTACCGCGTATAATGTAGCGCGGGCTTGTTGCGTGGGAACAACCTGTCGCAATAAGTCGACATTTCAAGTAGGACTCCTGGAACTCTCTGTAAAATGTAGCTTTCTTTTTCTTTTTCTTTGAAGACGTAGCCTCTTCTTCGGTTTCCTCACTGACTGCGCTAAGAAACTTTCCAAAGACGTTTGTTTTCTGTTCATTTTGCTAGCTTGGGGGTTTCAATTTAGCGGAAATGTATTACTAATTAAAAGTGTGAGTCACAGACAGGCGGAAGAAATCCGTTAATTTTTCAAAATAAAACATTGTTCGGAATAAGATAAATAAACCGGAAATGAACGGAAATTGCTTCTTTTATTTGCTTTAATACAAAAAAGCATTTGCTTTGGTATCAAAATGAAAACTCTACATCCAATGATATAGCTCCAACTGAATAAAACCTAATTAATTATTTAAACTAAACATAAGATTAAGATGAATCAGGGTTTTACATAAGTTTTAAAATGATTACATAATAGTATGAAATGGTACAGAGAAAAAAAATTATAAATAATTTAAAATTTTCATCATTTGATGGCTGTGACCTTTGATCCCTCGGGCTGCTCTACACTACATCCTGATAGAAGAATTTTACCATTAATATTCAGAGTGACTGCAACATCTGCAAGTGCAATATAAAAGCATTGCTTTCGAGGCAGAGTATTGCACACAACACACAAAAGGTTCAACTGAAATTGTAGAACATTATATATAGTTTTTTACGTTTTCTTTATATTAACATTTTACACAGATTGAAAATGTATGTTATATTTTATATTACTTTATTTATTTTATAATTTTGTTATTTGCCCTAACTTTATACTTAATATCGAGTATAGATATCCCTGGCCTGAGTTTGTTCCTTTAGAGATTTGACTCTACAGTTTATCTGATAAATAACTCCAGCAGGCAGCAGTCAGTGCAGACAAAGAAGGTGTTGATTTTTTTAATTTTTCTTATTTATTTTTTTAAATTGCCATCTTGTTTTTTTTTTTAGCGTTTACCTCTCAGCCTTTTGGAGCCACAGTTTTGGAGCAACATCTATTACCAAAGATAGGGGGCGCTGCTAGTTTACCCTGTATGAGTGCGGACCATTAAAACGGCTAACCTTGATACTTAGGTGGCTATTTTCAATGTTTTTTATTACAAAATAATTTGGCTTATCCCTTTATCAGGAGTCACTACAGCAAGGGGCTGGGAGGGTACCTTTTTTTTTTTTTCAAATTCTCTTAAAGTCCTAAAGTCATCAAACTCGTATTGTTCGTGTATGTGTGTGTGTTTACTCACATTTTGAGCAGACTCTGGTCCCTGCTGAGATTGTGACTCAGCAGATTGGAAGACAGAGAAAAGAGTGCCTCGCACCACAGCTACAGAGAGCAGATCATCATCATCATCGTTGTTATTATCACATCATCTACATATAACCTCACCGACCGCCGTCACTAGCTGACGACACCCCTGCTGTTCTGAGACGAATACCTTGGCCTCGTCCTCTTGTGTAGCGATGAAATTCAGCTGGTTGATGTTTACCAGGTCTAAGGCCGTAACCACAGTGACCATGCGGTTCTCGAGGCGTCCAACCAGGTTGCCTACATCCAGCAGCTCCCTCAGTTTGGCCTCCTGTCAAACCACACAAGATTTTTGGAAAAATGTAGACAGACAATGAAAATGTTTGTTGAATTTGGTTTGTTTGTTCTTTTTTTTTTTTTTAATCAGTTTGAGCTTGTGGCTGTAACTGAGAAGAGAAAATATTGGTCAAATCAATTTTAAGTTCTTTTTCTGTCTTCCGACAGCTTGCAGGCTTCGGCGAAACAGTAAAGTCTGTCGATGTTTACATCTGGTGGTTCAGTCTGATTTGATGCATGTCTGTCAGATACATACAGAGGAAGTATAGACGCTTTTGACATTTCTATATTTAAGAAACTGAAATATTTGTTTTACATGCTATATTTCGAAATATTTTCAACATCTCGAAATCCTCCCAAAACCACGCTGAGTAAAAATCATGTCAAACTGAGATCAAGCTGAGAGTGGATGAGTGTAATGCTATAACGAGAGAACAAAGTTACCTTGGGTGTTTTGGTGTTTCGGCCTGTCCTCACATCTTTTATGAGGGTCAGTTCCAGCAACTCTGTTTCCTAATAACACAGATACATTTACATTTTAAAATTCAACCCCAATATTTACTTTAAAATATACCATCAATCCGTTCATAATTATTGATTGTCTTTGTGTTTGTGTGAGTACCTTGTTTTGGTCAGTCCAGTACAGGTAAAACCCATGTGGGTCCACACACAGAGTTACTGGTGTAACAGTGGAGAGGTCCTAGATAGAAAACAACACAGTTAGAGAAAGCCGATGCTGGGGCGACTGGGAAGGAACTTTTTTACCGTATGACACAGTCGGGAGTGGCAGAGAAGAATGTGAGGGAGGTGCAGGACATTGTACTGTACAAGGTCTGTCAGACAGTGGTTAGGTGTGCTGACAGAGTGACTGATGGGTTCAAGGTAAGGGTGGGGTTACATCAAGGACACTTGTTGTAACCACACATTTTGTTTGCTATGCTAACGGACAGGTCCATTCCAATGAAGACAGTAATCCTACCCCCCCGTACATACAGTAATACAACGTATTTAATTTTTAAAATTATTTTGTGATTGAGCTTAATGTGAATGTTATGTTAAAGTATAACAATTCAGTATGCAAGTCTGTTAAGTTATGTTCGCATTATTATTACCCAAACATCAAAAACAAATAACTCTTGCTGATAAAAAAAAACAACCCCGAATATATATATTTATTTACTGAATGATATCTAGTTTTGAGGAAGGAAAACTGGTCATTGGGGGCTAGAGGGTAGAGGTCAGTGTAGGAAAGAAGCAAATATAAAATGTCCTGGGATCAATGGATAAATTGCATCAATGCTATTTCTAATACACATAAATATTTGAAAAAAAAACATATATTTGTTGATATTTATTGTAATTATTATTTAGCAATTATTAAAAAATTTACGTTTTATTTTTTTTAATTTTTTACATTTACCTTAAAATATTTGGCCACAGACATCTGAACAGCACCACAGTGGTGATTCCTTCCTACATTCATAAGAATCGAAGGATGCTTCACAACAGTCCTACTTGTTACTTGTTGGCATAGCAACTATTTCTGTGTTTTATAATGGCCCACTGTAAATGTTGTGACCATTTTCTATAAGACTCACACACACACACACACGTGCAGTGCCACAAACATACATGTGCATGCTCTGGCACACACACACAGCAATGTGGTCAGTGTGTTGGTAAGCATGCCAGTTACCATAGTAACTGAACAGCGCGTTTCTTATTTCAGGGTTCTGTACTTATACCAGCATACCAGTACACACACACACGCACGCACACACATGCACGGACATCTTGTACTTATGTGCGCTACAGCTGATCCACGCAGTCATGCAATCACAGTTATACACGTACATCGTGTACTGCCGGTACAGGAGCGTAAACATTAGTACACATTAGTATATGGAGGCAAGCGAATACCAACCAACAGGTGGCATTTAAAAAAAATACACCAAAAACCAGCATGCGAACAAACATGACACATTTCACCCAGTGGAGTACGTTCAAGTGCTTTAAATATATGCAAGTCAAGTGGAAATAACCAAACCAAAAATATTACAAATACTTCCACAACGTAAATAAAGTCAAAATAACCAAACAAAAATATTACAAATACTTCCACAACGTCCTTACCTCGTCCCATTTAATGAAGTTACTGCCGGTCCTCAGGGTGTGAGAGACGGAGGGAGGTTGAAGTTTCAAAGCGTGGACCCCCGGCTGTGCACTTGCCATAGCTTTAGACTCACAGACGCACACGCACGCATGCGATACACACTCTCGGGCAGGAGACAATCTGGAGATGTGCACTCTGTCCTCTCCGAGTCCAAACTCTGAGGAAGTCAGTGAGAGACGCTGAGCTGCTGCATCTCTCTCTCTCTTCCTCTCTCTGACTCACTCTCTTCCCATCTACTGAGCTGCTGCATCTCTCTCTCTCTCTCTCTCTGACTCACTCTCTTCCCATCTCTCTCTCTCCCTCTCCTCTCTGCTCGTGTACCCCTCACTCTTCAGTCAGACCTTCATCTTGCATAGACAAAGACAGAAACAAGTGCCTTCGTGGGTGATGTGCGTGTGCGTGCGCGCGTGTGTGTGTGTGTGAGTGCACTGCCTCAACAAATTGACTCATCGGTGTCATGCGCACAGAGAAAACCTTCCCACAGATGGAGGAGGGATGAGAGGAGAGAGACAGAAGAGCACCTAGAAAAAGACTTCAAGAGAGGAAGAAGAGTGTGGGAACAGGACGGGAAATAAGGAGGAGGAGGAGGAGAAGGAGAAGGAGAAGGAGGGCGAAGCATAAAGAAAAACACAGCAACATTTGTTAGAAAGTGAGCACAAGGGAGAGAGGCTAAACGAGGTGGGCAACCGGATAACGATGATTCAGACAGATCGGGGGGTTCTTGAAGACAGTTTTCACCAAATCACACGTCTACATCTGTGATGTTTTGTTATCTGTGCTGAGATGAAATGATTATGTATATATACATATATACATATATATGTGTGTATATATACATATATATATCTGTGTTTCTATATATACACTGTTATAAATATGCATATATAATCATTTCACAATATATATAATGTGCTGAGGTGAACTGATTATATGTATATATGTATATATATATATTTATATGTGTGTATATATATGCACATTTATAAATAAGTATATATAATCATTTCACAATATATATAATGTGCTGAGATTAAATGATTATACGTATATATGTTTACATATATTTATGTGTGTATATATATATCTGTGTATGTATGTACTCATTTATAAATATGTATATATAATCATTTCACTATATATATATAACGTGCTGAGATGAAATGATTATATATATGTATATATTTATATATGCATATACATATAAATATGTATGTAATCATTTTACAATATATATAATGTGGTGAGATGAAATTATTATATGTATATATACATATATGTATATATATATGTGTGTAAGTATATATAATAGTTTCATCTCACCACATTAGTTATTATATTTGTATACTATATATAAAATTTCGTATTTGTGGGACAAATACAGGACTTATTAACTTCTTTACATATTTATACATATATAGTATATAAAAATACATATATATAATATAATATATATAAAATATATAATATTTTTTAAGTCAGTTAGACTTAGTTTAGACATAATTTGTCAAAATTGGAATATAATAAAAAATAAAAAATAAACAATTTGGGATCCTGACTCATATTGGATGATTGAAACAAGCTTGAAATAGAAATTTAAAAACTGACCTCTACTATAGTAGGACCTCGAAATGACAATTTATTTTTGCTAAAGTTGTAGTAAGTCTTATGAATTGTCAAAACCTCAACCTGAGTACTTGATTTATTTTAATACTTTTTCACCTCACTTTTTAAAATAAATAAATAAATCAATAACATGCCAAGGCAACACTAAGTGTGCAATTGTGACCTTTTGACCTTCAAAGACACGGCTACAGTAGAAAAAAAATCTTTAAAACATATTCCACTTCATCAGTTTGCAGCAGCCTCCCACACTCTGGTGCAGAAACACGTGGCGTAAATACTCCAGGGTTCAATGTATCATGTATTATTGTTAATAATACTATGATTTTTTTTTTGACATTGAATAAATAGACAAAGGAATTTCAGCTGTATGAAACTTTTAAAAGACATCAATCTTTTATTTAAGTTCTACTCCCGATGTTGTACTTGCTAACTCTCCAGGGTGTATCCTGCCCTTGTGCGATAACTGCTGGGACTGATTCCAACCCCCCTGTGACTGTTGTTGACTAATTGACTCTCATAATGCGGTTGAAAGTACAACTCAACCTCAAAGCAGCAGCAGTGGAGCCGTTGTCTGTACTGTACACATGCAACAGTTTCACCTGCAGAACTTTTACATTTCCGTATGAAATACCAATAAACCTTACAGGTGTTTTGACATTCTGTGTTATATGTGGGTTTGGAAAGACAAGATTTATTGCATGTTTGCCCATCTGAGAGATAGAGATGGATGGATGGATGGATGGATGGATGGATGGATGGATGGATGGATGGATGGATGGATGGATGGATGGATGGATGGATGGATGGATGGATGGATGGATGGATGGATGGATGGATGGATGGATGGATGGATGGATGGATGGATGGATGGATGGGTGGATGGAAAGGTGGATGGAAGGATAAATGGATGGATGGATGATGGAAGGATGGATGGATGGAAAGATGAGTGGGTGGATGATGGATGGATGGATGATGGATGGAGAGATGGATGGATGGATGGATGGATGGATAGATAGATAGATAACGGATGGATGGATGGGTGGATGACTGATGGATGGATGGATGGATGATGGACAGACAGACAGATAAATAGATAGATATTAAAAGTTAATATCAAACATCCCTAGATTTTTTACGGTCAAAAAAACTAAACAAAACCAGAACTAAAAGTCATTGTGGAAAACTGGGATTAGTCCATTTGACCTGTGCAGAAAACAGATCTCTTTGGATTTTGATGGCAGTTCGGTGATTAGTGGTGGGTTGAAGGTGACACCGACCGCGTGCTTTAGAGCCTCGTCTTTATTCTTCGCCGCATCCCGAAATTACCTCGCCACGACACTCAGCGAGACAGAGGTGCATTTGCATTAGCAAAGGCAACGGCACTCGCACACTGGCACACACCCTGTTCATCAACAGATCACTGTGCTGGTAGCTTACATAAGGGAGAGAGTGGGAGGCTGAGAGCTATTTCAGGAGCAGAAAAGACGCCGGAGTGCAAGTGTGTGCATGGTCGAAGCACACATATGGATCGGAACGGTCTTCTCTGTGTGCGTGCGCGCGTGCGTGTCAAGTTTAAAGTGAAGTTTCGACTCGGATCTCTGGCAGTTTAGAGATCCTCTGCGCCCGTGATAGATTGTTCTGCCCGCACACACACAGAGTTACACGGCAGCCAACCCCTGCAGAGCCGCACAGCCAGAAGGAATTGCCAGCAATGTCAAGATGTTGTGGCAGCAGCCTGTTTTTTTCTCCTACGGGCCTCTGATAAGAGCCTTTCCAAAGACAATTGCAGTTTTCACTCCGTGTGAAGCCTGCTGTGGTTCCGGTGACTTTTCAGGAGACAAAAAAAAAACAAAAAACAAGGAACAGCTAACTACTTCACCGAGGAGAGTGTTAAGTTACAAAAGTCTGAACGCATTTTGTTTTAATGCTATTTTCTTCTTTCTACTTTTGGAGATAATTCTATTGCAGTCAAAGGTGTAAATCAGGGGTGTCAAACATATGGCCCGCGGGCCAAATTGGGCCCGCTTGGGGTTTCAACCCGGCCCGCTTGATGGATTTTGAAAATGAAAAAGTACACTTCGTGTTCAGGAAAACGTTTCGTACAATCATATTATATCACCAGTCAATGGATACCGATACTAAATACTATAAATATAAACTCTGCGATGTTGTTTGTTTCTGCAGAGACATCATCTTGAAACTGCCTTGGGATCTTTCTCCAGGAGAGACCTCGCTGATACAGTGTAACGACCTCGTGTACTGCGGTACTTCCTCCTACACAGCAACTGACTTTTTCGTTTAATAACTACAAGTCAACCTTCATATAAAAGCCAAACCATCTTTTCCCCCCCTTTGTTTCGATGCAAAAAAAGTACATTAGATAAATATTCATATTTAATGAAACGTAACTTTACAAAACATTTCCCGAACATGAAGTATTTGTGTATTTATTTGGTTTGTTTTTTTTTTTCAAAATTCATCAAGCGGGCCGGATTCAAACCCCAAACGGGGCTGGTTTTGGTCCACGGGCCGTATGTTTGGCACCGGTGGTATAACTGATCGTACACCTCCGAGCAATTACGTTCCTATCAATTTGTCAATTTGACGCTGGATTTCGCTGGTTTTGGTCCACGGGCAATTTGTCAATTTGACGCTGGATTTCGGACAATAAATCAATCATTATCACAATGATTTGCTAATTTAATTCTGCTATTTCTATCGAACTTTAGAAAAGTTGATCAGCAGTTCCAACCAAATCAAAAAAACTGTGTACAATAAGAATTAAATGAACGCGGTGTATTCCAAACAATCGCCATGGAAATTCACATGGATTTCTATTTGGAAAAAAAAAAAAAAAAAAGTTGTCAGTAAAGATCTCTTTTTTTATGACTAAAGTCAACTATTTTTTTTATACCAGCTGTGCTGTAATAATGGATTTTTCTCTGGAACTGTTTCTCTGTTAAGTTATTTCAGCCACTGTTCAAAAGAACGGTGTACGCAGATGGAAAAAGAAAAAATACATAGGAGAGGCGGGGGAAAAAACTGATCTCAGTCTGAAGCCACCGCTGAGAACTGTAACAACTGCAAAACACGCCCACGTGAAGGCAATCGTTCGAAAAGAGGCTCTCACAAAGTATCGTTGTTTAAAACAAACTCGAGGCCCGCGGGCCACATGCGGCCCAGCGAGTCATTTGGTGCGGCCCGTAGGAGCTTAAAGTAGGTTGAATTGGCTTATAATGAAGTATATGCTGCTGAGTTTCTTAACTTGATAAATTATTTTTATTACACAGACTATTACATGGACTGTAATATTTGTAATTTAAACTAATAATAATCGATTGCAGAAACATTTATTTATACATTATGGAGTAGTTACAGCTATACAGTCAAGGGTATTTGCCAAAGAAAATGTTAGTTGCTACACTTTTGCATAGTGGCACCAGCTTCTTCACCAGGAAACGGTGTGAAAATGCACACCTGTAAGACATGTACAGTACACGTTACAAACGGGTGACGATCAAACAACAATCCAAACCGACCAGTAAAGAAGCAGCATCGCGGGCTCAGACCAAAAAGACAAACATTGTAAAGTGGCCAGGCAAACTTAAAGGCAATTAAAAGAAAGTACATCAAAAATTACATTTCAATGTTTAAGTCAACTTAGAAATGCAAATTTTGACCTCTTGTCCTCCTGGGCTGGAACTCTATGTTAGTAATTCATGGGAAAAACTTTTTTTTTTTTAATTTCTGTTTATACCATATTTGAGTTTGCAGAAGGAAAAACACGATTTTTTTGAACATCCTTATGGTGTTTTTATTGTAGTGGAATAAAAAGGCTGATAACGTAGCATTTGGCCAATTAGCATTTGGTTGCATAAAAAAAAACAATAGCTCATTTTGAGCTTTTCTCACATTTTTAAAAACTGCATAGCTCATTTTAAGCTTTTCTCACATTTTTAAAAACTGCAAATATTTTTTTTCACACTACTGTTAAGTTGCCAAGAAAACACCAACAGATCAGAACTTTTCTTTTTTTTATTATTATTATTATTTGTAAGTCTTTGTTTAACAAAACTGACATTTACTTGACAACGACTCCGATGACATCATAACCCCCAGTCTAAAAAACTAAGTAAAAAGTAAAGTATCTTGCTCTGTGCTGTCTCTTGTCAGCCCGTGATTAGTTGCACTCAGCAGCTTGCAACTGATTGGTCGACGTGACTCATTGCTGTTTTATGCAAAGAGTTTCACGATGCTACCAGCAGATGTCACTGTGTCAGTTTTCTCATGTGTTCTGGGCATTTTCTGACCTGAGGTCATTGGGACCTGGTGTTTAGGACTTTGACTGTTTTGCGGCCGTAGTGCCAGTAGCTGTAGCCTGAAGCCGTGGTGGTAACTGCGGTTACATACCTGAAACAGAGAAAACACAAGAAAATTATTGAAAAAAATAGAGAGAGACACTCAAATATAAATAAATAAAATCACATTTTTGTCTAAAATTATTAATGAATATGATATGACTACAATGTTTATTTTGGAATCCAATCGTTCGGTGGGCCATATTGGGCCTGCGGTCCACCAGTTGACCATCACTGCTGTATGCAATGCACTCCGTTTAATTCGAGTGTCAGCAGGACAAAAAAAAAAAAAAAAAAAATGAGTGTTAGCAGGACAAAAAAAAAACAAAAAACAATTCTAAATGTACGACCTGTGGTCCGTGTCACTCAGTTAAAGCACACTTGTATTAGACCGTGGCTCGGCGTGACAATGTCAAATGTTTGTTCTCGGTCTGCTTTTACAAATTCAGCTCACTCAGAGCGGCGGACAGAAATGAGTCAGCTCTTTTAACCCAGCGCTCGGCTGGAACAAGGGGCATCTTTGTGCTTGACGAAACCGAATCAATTTGCATTCTAAAAGCATTTGCACAACAAAAACGAGTGTCTCTTTGTGGTAACCTCAGCTATGGTGAAGGACACCGTGGGCACATTCGGCGTTTGTGAATGGCACCGTGTTTAAGTGATTAAAAGCGGGTCTACCAACCATATGCACGGCAGCAGGACGCTGTCTGTGAACTGGAACACGGGAGCAGCGAGAGAGACTGCCACCAGGAGGAGCTGGATGGCTGTGTTCACCTGCCGACAAACGGGAAAACACGCCGAGCGATGAGCAAATCAGACGGTCCATTAATGCATCATAATAAATTATTCAGACAGAGAGCCCATTGTTGAGCTGCACTTGTTTTCATCACCTCACCACAGGTGATGTTTTCGCTTAACAATGTACGTTGTTTGCATGGACGTATCGCTGGTAAAATGGCATTTGGTTGGAAGAGAAATGGGAAAAGATCGATCGAGAGATATAGATAGGTAGAGAGAGAGAGAGATAGGGAATGATAGATATATAGAGAGATAGATAGATAGTAGGGAACGATAGATATATAGAGAGATAGATAGATAGATGACAGATAGATAGATAAATAGATAGATTTTGTTAAATACATACAATAAATATATTGCATCTTGATGTGTTTATCAGTTCTTAGGGTAAATGAATTTATTTGTTACAAAGAAAATATTAATTTTAAACATGTCCATAATTATAACCAGTCATTACATTTTTGTTTGTCTTCACTAAAAACAATTTACAAGATTAATTACACGTAATTATTATTAACAATTATAATAACAACATAATTATTTAATAAAAAGTTGGCATAAAAAAAGTCCTATAACTGAGTGATCGGCCATCCTCGAGCAAAGTAAATGGGGTCTGTCGCCATCTAGTGGTATCAACTGACATTACAGCCAATGTGTTGCAAGCGGGAAACGGACAGATGAAATGTGTGTAACCAGTGTAACCAGTTATATGCATGAAGGTGGATGAGGATATTGCTTTAAGAATTAAAAGGACATGTGTGAAACGTGTAAACGTGTAACATTCTCTGTAATGTTTATAATAACTAATAAAAAATAAGCTATATTTAAAAGTACAGCTGTAATTGTGATTTGGATGTTCGTGACATTCACGCATAAGCGAGAGGTATATTTTTACTGCTACTCCACTCGACCAAGGGTACAGCGTCCACTGTAGTGCACATGTGGGTGGATTTGGGCGCCTTACCTTGCTGAAAAGTGTGGGCTTTAACTGAGCGGTGGTGTAGCAGGGATTAAAAAACTTGGCAAGTGTCACCTGCAGAAAAAAGAGCATTAAAGACATTTATTAATATGTTCACACAAACTGGGTTACTCAACACCTTGAAGCTTAAAAATGAATAAAAACACAGCCTCACCGGCGGAGGAACAGTCTTGTATCTGATCCAGAAGACGGCAGCTATCAAGCCGATGTCTCTGAAAATCACTAAAGCCGTCAGGGGAGCTGAAACGGAGAAGAAGAGGTGGCGTCGTTAACGAAATGCCAATTAAATGCAAAAATAATTAAAAGCAATAAAACAAAATTCGACAACTGGGATTAAACAGTAATAAATGTTGAATTAATAAAATCAAATCAGTTGTCATGAAAATAAAGAGATTCAGTTGGATAATCAGTGGCAATGTTAATGAGAAACTAAAAAAAAATTAAATTAAATGTCAGCTAAGTTATCTCCTTTTAGAAATGTGATCAAAGTACACACACACACACAGTCTAATACCTGGTATAAGATCAGCATAGGTGAGGCTGACGTATAATATACTGACGAGGATTTTGTCAGCCAGGGGGTCCAGAGCGCTGCCCAAGGCTGACTTTTGATTTGGCCAAGTTCTCGCGATGTAACCATCCAACTGAGGTAAAGAGGGAACAGAAGAAAGATGAAGACATTTGAATAAATGTATACTGTATAAATGAAAAAAAAAAAAAAAAAAAGCTTCGACAACAAGAGGTAGGCAACAGAGTTGGCCATCATTGGTTTGTTGGGGTGACAGAGCTGCTTTGGGTTCAATTCTGTCTCAAGCCTAATGATAATCTCTGGTGTGATAATTCTGTCAAATCACTATGCAGATTTCTGCTGAGTCATCCTCTGAACATGGGAAAAGGCAAAGGTGTTTTTTACTTCTATTATTTATTCTTACTTTCTACTACAAGACCCCTGACCGGTAGGGGGCGCTGTCATCTTCATTTATTTTAATTTTTGTACATTATATTCAGTACTAGTATTATTGTGCTGATGCTTTATTTACAGATGTTCCTAAAATGCTATGCGTTGTAACATGGCTGTTTATATGAGCGTGGAACTAAATAAATAATTATTTAAAAATACTGATCTGGTAATGAATAATGAATTATTTGCGTATTTTGAATCGAATTCCAATGAATTCGAATTGAAATCGAAAGTACTACACTAGTGAGAAGAACATTCTACCTTTAAGTGGTTACTAATAACTTGTTCTAAGACCCCTCCGTCAGTCAGGGACTGTCTGCATGTATGTTGTTGGACTAGCCAGACCGGGTACTGTGGACTCGTGGACGGAGTCGTGACTCGAGAGTAGGAATACGTTACCAGGTCCGTAGCTCCAGCCAACGTAAACAGGGCCAGGCTCATGTGAAAGTGCTGCTGGACGACCAGGTAACCCAGCAGTGGAGCCAGGAAAATACGACACACACACAGCAGGTTAGGGATCGTCCATGGGTTCTCATACTGCAGAAAAACAAAACGTCACAGATGTAAATAAATAGATCATTGAGCATTTTTATACTTGCGGCAGGATAATACTAGTTTTCCATGGTGTATTACACTTGATAACACTCCTGTGTAGGCAAATACACAATATGAAGAAAGTGTGAATACATAATGTTGATAACACTCCTGTGTAGCCAAATACACAAAGTAGTATCATCAATATGAAGAAAGTGTGAATACATAATGAGAAAATTGTATTACTGGACCCTAACCTCAAGCAGTTTATTTTTTTACATAATAAAACATTAAGTCCAACAGTAGCGCCTTTGTTTATGTAACTAGAAAATGTCTTAGGGGACATTGAGAGGACAAGTGTTTCATTGAACAATTTCATCGGAATAAGGGACTGTGTTATTACAGCAGTTTTTCTTAATGTCAACTAACGCAGGGTTTATACTAGCAGGACGTGAAGGTGAAATTGGATGCTAGCCTATTTTATCACAGCACCTGAATAAAGCTGTATAAAAATGTTGTAATATGACATAAAAATATTCATTAAAATATTCAAATATTGTATTTATTATTGTTCCTTGCGGTCAAAGTGGTCATTTGAGGTGGGAAATAAAGACAAGTATTCCTCAGTAGGTGGAAGTGGTACAACTCAAAGCCATGCCAGCCGCTGTGAAAACAAAAGTGCAAAGGTGCCTTTAATGCGTAGGCGACGGGATGCAAAGTTTTGCAACAATGTTGTTTGTAGAGTACAGCCCACAGCTATGCTAATCCCTGGGAGTTTAGCGTTAAGCACTACGCTAGAAAAGCCTGACTGTCAAATATCAGATTAGGATTTTGCATCAATAATTAAGAACGTACAGAGACTGAAATCAGTTGTTAAGGTTTTTTGCCCCTTTATTGTTTATGTACAAGCCCATCTTTAAGAGCTCTTCAAATGTTAATTCTTCTCAAAACAACATTTGATAATCTTGGAAAAAATGTACCTGCATAATAAAGTCAAATGGCCATGTTTTTCTATTAACGGATACATAATAGCATGCAACGGTTTTAGTGTTTACTTTTCTATGTATTTTTTTTTTCCTTTTTATTATTAGGCACTGCAATGGATATGTTGTTGAATAAATAGTGTCACACTTGTATACACTAATGTTATCTAAAATACTTTTAAAAATGCTACTATAGACCTATAGTATCTAAAGTAAAGCATGGTATCAATACATATACAGTGTTCATTTGCCAGGAAAGTGGAAAACTACCCACAGACTTCTACTTTGAAAAAACAAAATGCTATACTGCGCGTGTATTTTATGATTTTCTAGTAAACTTACCAGAAATACCGTGGTTAGCGAAATACATTTCGTTAAAAAAGCATAATACCTGAGCAATTAGCATTTTTATAACTTGGACTCGAAGGAGTTAAACTGCTCTATCAAACAATAATGCTAAACAAAATGTCTTACATATGAAGTGTATATATGACTTATACATGGTGCTTTAGCTAAATAGCTATACTTTCAAATGCTTCATACATTGTTCATTTAACTAATAAATCACTGTAACACAAAGTAGTTCGTTTTGTTCGCCGTTGCTTATGAAAAGTCTGGTGTTCATAATGTCGTCTTAAGACAACATGAGTCTGTTAGCTGCTTTTCGCGGGTCACACTACATTAGGGAGCAGACAGTCGCCTTCTTCACTCACCAGCTCTTTGAACTTAAAGAGTCCATGTCCGGGTACTGTAGTGTCCTCCGTTCGTTCAGGTTCCTTCGAGCTGCCCTTCCTATTTTCACAACAAAGTCCACGAACTTTTGGACCCGCTGTGGACCACTGAGTGACCGCACATCCATAGTGACCTCCACGGTACAGAAAAACTGTTTGAGGCTCTTTCCAGAAACTTGGTTTTACTTGCTGCGCGACTCTACCCCAACACACCACGCGACTATCAGTCCCTTTTAGTCTCACATGGGGGACCTTTACCCTCAGATACTCGCTGACAGGTGTGAAAGAGGGCCGCCATGACCTGGACTGGAGCCCGCACACGCCCGCACTACAGCGCACTGACAGCGGACAGCCGACCCTGACCAATCGCTGAAAACACATCACCGCGGTCATCACTGTCACCGAGTCACAGACCGCCAGCTCCGTGACATTTGTTTCATGACAAAAAAGTACATTGGTAGTAATGCCCCCAGTAGAGTGGATTTACAGTAACTCACTACAGCAGGTTTCCATGTTGCCGGAAAGTGAAACGTCAAACCACGTCGTAAAACGGTCCACAAGGATGCAGGCTTTCCTTTAGAGGACGTTTATTTTGAAAGTCCTACTTCCACATCAGGGAGGATGAAGTGTTTAGGATGAAAGATTTCAAAGTTGTGCTCAAACGGAGAATGCAAAAAGTTACACAAACTACAAATTATAAGAATAACCTATATAATAACTTTTATAACTTTTTTTAAATTTAAATTAACATACAGTATACAGACGTGAAAACAGGCAACATCCACACAGAAAGTCCATTTACCACATGTTTAAACCACATTCTTCACCATTTCAAGAGCGTTTACTGAAAACCACATTCTTCACCATTTCAAGAGCCATTTCAATGCACCAAACAAAAATATATTTACAGGAAAACAGGTGTTTTTGATAAGTTTTTTTTAATAAAAATGTATAAAGTGCAAACAGTAGAAACTAAACAGGACAGGAAATGGTATCCAAAAGCATTACAACGTGTACAGTATGTCATCACCTACAATTCTTAACAGTTGTTCAAAGTATCATGGCAGGTTGGTTCACCAACCTTTTACAAACTGTGGGTATATAAATTGCTACTTGTTTGATACACAACCCCCAAAATGTAATAATAATAATAAATAATAAAATTATGTAATGCTCTGTAATGCTACTGTACTCCAAGGGCACCTTGGGTAGTCCATGAGGGTGAACTGGTGCTCCTGGGTCACTATGTGGTGTCAAAACAGCTGACTGTTGACCAAACTTACTCTTATTGTATGGTCTTCTTGTGTTCTCTGGTGTAAACACTTGGCTGAGTGCTGCAGTAGTTGCAGAGTTCAGTCTGTTTGTAGCTGGTACAACTTGGCCCCTTTCTTTAGTAGGAAACCCTGTTCATTTAATGAACTCACCAGACCTTCAAAGTCCATAACCTAAAAAAAAAAAGAAAAATAAATATTATTATTTTACACCTGAAAATGCAATGGCGGTGTTTCCTAAGGATAAGAACACCATTACCTTGATGTTTATCTTTTCGGCCATGGCTCGGAGCGTCTGCAAATCGAACTGCTTCTGATTGGTTCTCTGCGCATGCGAGTGCAGTGCATTGACCAGACGTTTTGCTGCACTGCGTTGACTCGTGCCGGACCCACGCTGGGATACTTCAAATTCCAGGTTGCCCAACCCATCGGAAGTTATATCTGCCAGACTGTACAAAAAGAAACACACATTGTTTTCATCTTACATTAACATGGAATGAAAACATTTTCACGTTGGATGAAAACCAAGCCTGGGAAAAGCACTAGAGGGTAGGGCACCCTATTTGAACTCCATGAGTATAACATCAGTGTTGTGGTATGTGTTATTCCAGCGGTATCACACCTGTGTTTGATAATTTCGATGACATCTTCGGCATCACTCTTGGATGCTGTCTCTCTGAGGTCCAACCTGGCTCGTGCCTAGAGCAAAACAACAGACAACAAACACTAAGGGCTGACACCAGACAATCATACACAGATTCATGGCTTCATACGAGAGTCTGCTTTGTGAAGAAACCTACCTCAGTTAATCTAATCAGGGACTCCAGCTGACGTGTGGTGATAGGTGTGGCATCAGCGGAATGAGACTGAGCTCTTAGTGACAGGTAGAAGTCCTGGATTGTTTTTGCAGCCTCGGGAGAGATCACCGGATTCACGTACTGCCGGGCATAGCTAACGTACTTCCTTAACAAACAGGCTGGAATGGCATCTATAACTTTACCTGCGGGGATCTTAAAAATGAGATTGTAAGCATTTAAGTAGAGAAAAACTATACTCATATATAAATACCAAAGGTCTATTCTTACCTTCAAACGTTCAGACAGCGGCATGTCTTCTAGCAAGACGGAAGAATCTAACTGGTTGTCAGCAGCCCTGGTAACTGTGGCGCTGCTGGTCCGGCCTTTTCCTGACCTATTTGCCATGACGTGTTCCGAAAGGTGGCGGTCATGGGTCTCATCCGGGATGTCCAGAAGGAGGAAGATGATGTCAAAGCGAGAGAGGAGAGCGGAGCCCATTCTGAAAAAAATGATTGAAGCCAAGACAACGCTGATATACTGGCAGGAATTGAAGAAAGACACAAAGATCTTCAACAGATTCAACATTATCTTTTTTAGTTTTAATAGCCATCTGCTGCCACCTAGCAGAAGAGGATGTAATTGCACTGCATGTCACACATTGACGAACAAAGACATTTTTTTTTGCAATAAATAAATGATAGTTTTGGGACCAATATTGGGTAATTTACCAACCCACACCCCTTGCAAATTGAAATACTATTGAGATCTTGATAACGTATATTTTTATCTGTAGAAACCACTATATGAGTTGCTGCCACCTAGTGACTGGAGGCTTGTTATCACTCAAGCATTACAGTAGTGGTACACTTATGTCCAGTGTGCCATATTCCATTGCAAGCCCCTCACGCCCCCCCCCCGACACCTAACAGCGCCCCCTAGGGGGGCCCGCCCCACTGTTTGAGAAGTACTGCGCTAACCCAACTTACTTAAGGTTTTCACAAACAGTCTTGGATCTGGTGTAATGTCCTCCAACTGGATTGGCAGCTGCTACGACTGATGTTCTGGCAGGTAGAGAGGAAACTATTCCTGCCTTTGCCAGACTTACTGACTGCTGCTCCATGGCTTCAAGCAGAGCCTGTTGCTGGTGACCTAGTTTATCAAACTCATCAATGCAGCACAGACCTGAAGGGAACAGATAGAGGAACATGCTTGTTTTTTTTTTTTTTAAATGTACCATTTGTCTTTCAATTGTGTGATATTGCGTTTGAAGACAGTTGAGTTTTTTCACCCCCTGACCTTGGTCAGCCAGCACCAACGCTCCAGCCTCAAGAGCATAATCCCCCGTTCCTGCATCTCGTGATAAGCTTACTGTTAATCCTGAAAGAATTTTAGAGTTTTATTTACGTAAATACCACAATGCCACTGGGTTTTGTTGAAACCAAAGACCATAGAACTTATCTATCCTTCTGTTCGAGAAATGAAAGTGTAGAATGTAAGCTCTGGACGACCACAGTGTTGCCACGAAGGTTTGAAAAATGATGGTTTTCAATTTAGGTCGCATGAAAAGAGATGAGGAGAGTTGGTGGTCAATAATAAGGAAACCAAAAAATAATTAGTATTGGGAGGCTGGGTCATGGTATAGTAAGGAAAGGAGTACAGTAACCATTGGGATAGACGACTTCTAGGAAAAAAGAGTGGTTGTGGAAAAGGAAGTATATTTAAATCTTAGTGCGGCCGCAGGTCATGTGGTGCGTTTTAAAACCCAATCCACAGAGCTGTGGTTTTGTTTGCGCAAATCACCGCTCGTGGCTCGTTGGTCTAGGGGTATGATTCTCGCTTTGGGTGCGAGAGGTCCCGGGTTCAAATCCCGGACGAGCCCACCTCGAAACACTGATTCTTTATTTAGACTCCTGAGAGAATAATGAAGTTCGATCCAGAAGTTTGACCAGTTGAACACAAGTGTCTTGTGTAAACTGAAGGACTATGACCGTTTTTATACATGGGCTCTGGTTGCAACAAGGACGCAGTAAGAAAGAAACACATACTATAAGATACAAGTACAAGGTGCACAACTTACCTGTGGTGCTGGTACTGTTGCCACATACATAAACTCCTCTGGGGGCCACATTACACACTGCCTTTGTGGAAAGAAAACATGCTTTATTGAGATTGTTTTAACACAGATATAGAATTTTAGAAGAGACATCACTGTAACAAAGCATAGATTCCCCTGAACTCATTAGTTAGCTAGGCCTTGGCTGACACCGTCCAACGTTTTGCATGTGCAGTACTGTGCTACCTGTAACATCTGGCTCTTTCCCAGTCCGGGGTCTCCCACCATCAGGATGTGAGGGTCTCCTCTAATTGGAACACTGTTCTTTCCTGGGTGTTTCTGGCGTCCACCAAACAATGCCAGGGCAAGTGCAGCTTTCACCAGCTTCAGGAACAGGGAATTTTAAAGTGATTCCAAAGCATAGATGCTACTTCCAAAGCACACATTTACAGCCCTGAGATCTAATAATGTCATTTATTGTGAATTTTGAAAAAAAAAAAAAAAAAAAAAATTGTTGATACAACTTACCAAATGGCCAAAGATAACTGGACACAAAGAGCTGAAGAGAAATGTGATAAAAAAATACAAATTAATAAATGTCAATGTATATAATATTATTAATTAGTTGATATATATAAGACTAAAAAATGTGTTATTATATGATACAGACATTTTTTTTGTGGAGTGGGGAGTGTAACATGGAAAAGTTACACATTTTTGCATTACAAAAGGGAAATGAAAAGGTATTTAGACATATTAAAAGAAATTATTAAAAGCTGTGGGAAAAGACTAAATTAACTAAGATATTGACTCCCACTGAAAATGAGTGATTTTTTTTTTTACTTGGCAATCTTGCAAACTGTCTGAGTTTAAAAAAAAAACAAAACTCAGATCTGAATGGAAGATATTATTGGATAACATGTTTACTTGGCAATCTTGCAAACTTAGTAGTAACCTTAATGCCTTAATGTCTGAGTTTTAGTCTGAAAAACAAAATTCAGATTTGAATGGAAGATATTATTGGATAACATGGAATTACTGACTTTTTTGAAGACGAAAGTGGACATTTCAAGGGGAAGATGCAATTACACTTTATATTCAAATACTGAACAAAATCAAATTTTAGATTAATTTTTCTCATGTAATATATATATATATATGTACAGTATATATATATTTACCAATATTTCCTATATTTCCTAAATAATAGAAAAACCTAGGATGTACAATGTTGGTGCAATGCTCCTTACTGTACTATGAGTCTCAGCAAGTTAGGCTGTGACTGGATTTCCTGGATGGCGTACAACTCCTTAAGGGTGAAGTCATCACCTGCAGACTGGTCTTCAAGCAACCCTCGTGACCCCTGGCCAGACTTGGACTGATGACCTGCACAGAAGAGAGAGGAGAAAAAAAAAAGGACAATAATGTCACGTACAGAAACATGTGTTTAAACGTGGTATAATTAAAGTTTGAAGTACATTAAGTATGACTTTTATACTGAAAGTCAGTTCAGTACCTTTGGTGTTACTGACTGAGGTGGCTTCAAGGTAGAGCAGGAACATGCACTGATCCTTATTCCCTCTAGAACTACCTGTAATCAAAGTGATTTACTTTTTATATAATATTTGACCCGACATGTTTAAACATTACCATAGGATTTCACGTTCTTCACATTTTTTTTTTTTTACAACAGGCGGAGGTGGAACCCTAAACCACATCAGCATCAGTACACGTCACTGGTGGCCAGAAATGGATGACTACGTATATATATTGTATCAGACGTTTACCATCATTGGCGACTCTGACTATTCCCGTCACGGTAACAGTGTCCCCAGGGACGCAGCTGTCACAAAGGTCAGAGGTCAGGTGACACTCGACAGTGCGGGGAATTCGTCCGGTCTCCCTTTGCTCTCCACCTATTAACTCCTGCACCCTGAGGTAAAGTGAAATTTTTAGAGGATATTAAACATGTGATTTTTTTTTGGTTTGTTTCATCCATAATATGTCACAAGAGAGCCTCAGTAAGTTAAGATTTCAGATTACAAATTCCATAATCCTGTGAAGGATCAATGAAAAAATGTTTCCCATCATCACATAATGGAGTACTTCACAAATAGTGAGGTGGGACTTTAGGGGATTTCAATAGAATATGGCACACTGGACATAAGTGTACCACTGCTGTAATCCTTGAATGATAACAAGCCTCCAGCCACTAGGTGGCAGCAACTCATACTGTGGTTTGTACAGATAAAAATATACATGTTATCAGGTTCTCAATAGTATTTTAATTCACCCGTGTGACCCAGTATTCGGTCACTGGATCAACGCTCCCGATACCAATACAAGTATCTGTATCGGTGCTTCCTTGGTATTAAACTGACAACAGACACACAGGATTCTACAAGTGCTTTAAGTTCACAGAGGTGACACCTACTTGATGATCTGCCAGTCGACAGTGTGTGTTAGAGGTGAACTGCGGATGGGGACGAAAGAGCGGCTGCGACATTCTGGCTGGATACACTAGGAAAAAAAAAAAAGATAGTAAAATGCAGTGAAAAAAATGTTTTTTTTAGGATGTAAAGGTAGAGCTTTTAGACCTTTTAGACTATTACATTGTTGGGGAAGCCTGTATCAAACAAGTAGCTCTTGGTATTATTAAGCGCCCTTGAAGTAGCTCTCAGTTTCAAAAAGGTTGGAAAAAATCTCTCTAGACAACAACATTGAAAATATAGGATTTATTATATAAAAATAATCTCTGTGTGGTGGTGCATACTTTGGTGGGCGTGGCGTATTTCCCGTGCTGCAGTGGCAGAGACTGTGTGTTTGAGCAGCCCAGGCATTTGAATGCCATCCTGGTACAACGAGGTCTGATATTGCCCACCCTGACCACTGTTCCCTTCACACACACCAGTCGTCCAAACACACTGGCACGCAACATCCGCAGCGGCGTCAGTGGTTCGTAGTTGTACAGTCTGTGGTACACGAACAGGGGAACAGGAGTACGGCCTTTACAATGTCTGCAGTTGAATATGCGTCCCAAAATGAATGAATCAAAGTCATCGTTCATTACCTTGCACTGATGTAAGGGATGTTGATGAACGGTGAAGCAACAGGAAGTTCTTCCTCCTGCAGCTCCGAGGCCTGCTTTTCCAAATCTACCGTCAACACCTGAAACGCAACTTATATTTCAGCACACCATATTTGGAGTATTAGCAATGTTCATGTTCAAAGTATTTTGAGACCTCCTAACTTTTTTTTTTTTGTTTGTTTTTTGTTACCTGGTGAATTGCCAATCCAAGACAGTTTAGCATCAACTCTGGCTGCTCCTTCAGCTGCGTAGTGATGTCAGGCAGAACTCTACGCACAACCTTGTCCCCAATCAAATCTGAGTAATCCACCAAAATGCTGCCCTGCCGCTCAATCTCATCCTGTACGTAGATATTAGGGATATTTTTAACATTGTCGTTTTGACATGGCCGCTCAGGTGATCTAGCTTAAAATACATATTAACTCATATAATCTGAACGGTACTGATTCAATGCATGTGTAGTTCAAGTCTTACAATATATGGTCCCTACTACACACCATAAAATTAGATTTATATTTACGTTTTTGTATTTGAATTGCTCATGATCTACCAGCGCACCCATCGCAATCTAGTAGCAGATACTGATCTACTTATATGGCACCCCTGCCTTAAGCAAACACACAATAAAATGTATAATAATATATATGTATATTATAATATATGTATAATTGTAAAAAAAAAAAAAAAAATCTCTTGTAAAGTGAGGGACACACTGACCTTGTCGTACAGCTGAATCTTGGAAAGGAAGTATTTCTCAAACACCTTGATTTTTTCAACACTCGGTGAGCTCTGTATGAACCCTGTGCATAAAGAAAGTGACACAGTCGTCAACAGTAGCCACGCAAATGCAGCATGTTTCATCATCAAGACAGATCCTCTGTGTACAGTACCTTCAGTGAAGTAAAGTTGCCACCCTTTGTACGGACACAACATATCAAGTGTTGTCTGAGCCGGAGCTTAAGAGAGAGGCAGACTGTTAGAGCAGAGCATTCTGAAAAAGCATTTTCAAAATATACATTTTTTATTTTTTTATATTCGTGTGAAAAACAAGCCTGTTTCCACATTAGTGTTTTATGCTGTACCAAACTACACTAATACTCCTCAGAATATGTACAGTAGACAAGCAAAATGAACCAACCTCGTTGAGGGCTCGCATGGTTTCCTGGTCCTCCACTTCCCACTGACCCTCCTCTCCATGGTTTGCCCCTCCATCCTCCACCACCTCCTCTCCATCCACCGCCTCCACCTCTCCAACCACTGCCTCCTCCTCTCCATCCACCGCCTCCACCTCTCCATCCACCTCCTCCTCCTCTCCATCCACGGCCTCCTCCTCTCCATCCACCGCTGGTACCTCTCGATCCACCACCTCTACTGGATCCCTGTCCACTCATTGTTTTTTCTACAAAACATAATTCAGCAGAGTAAGAAGTCAAAACCAAGCAGTGACATATATATATATATATATATATATATATATATATATATACAGACAGTAACAGTAATATATATATATATATATTTATATATATAATATATTTTTATATATATTTTATAATTATATATATATATACATGTATATTCTAATATAAACACATGCACACACGCAGACAGACGGACGTCTTCTGTGCAATGACAATAAAGAAATATAGAAAATATAGACAATATAGAAAGTCTATAAACACACACGACCATTTAAATTGTCGTTGTTACCTTTGACCAGAGCGTTTACAGCAAACGCGGCTTCAAACGGCAACACATTTAAACACGTTTTATCAAAACGATTCACACCTCCGTATATACGTAACAGACTGTCAGTGCAAGTTTGACACTTTATTAAAAAATACATTTCGCGAATTTAAAGACCCGGTTTCGAAACGCATGAGTGCGGCGGGGAACAAACCTGTTTCGTCTCTTACTCACTGTGGTAAATATTTCTTCAATTTAAACTGAAAAAAAAAAACTATTGTTTTTGTTAAATTTGACGAGACGTGCATAACTTACCGTCGTACTTCCCTCCAACAGCTCTAAAGCTTCTTCTTTCACAATTTCCATAGCGAATAACGACCCTAACTGCCCATTCTGCCATCTAGTGGCCATAAAGGTAACTACAAGCACCTGTTCTGCAGATCGAGCCAGCAGCAAACAAAACTCTAATCATTGTATTGTACCTTCTGGACATCTGATGTTGTTCTCTACTGTAACGAATTGTTATTTACATCCAACCCAATATACATATTAAGTAAACTATTTGGTAGAGTTATTGATATACCAGATTTTATTCACAATATGTTTTGCAACAGGAGAAAACACACACACACCTTTAATAATAAAGACCCCCATTTATTATACATAAACAAATAAGCAAGGATTACAAAATGCAATACACTGTAATGAAGGGAAGGACGACCCAGTGCTAAGATTCCTCACCGGTCACACTGTAGAACCCAGCTACAAATTCAGCCTTCGTCCAAAATTCCATACCATAGTAGTTTACGCTACATCAGGAAAATTAACTTTACTAAATCATGATGAAAGTTGCATTTTTTAAAAAAGTTCTTACGAAAAGAAAACGTTATATTATCATGTCTAAACTATACAGCAAAAAAAAAAAAAAAAAAAAACAAGACAATTGGACAAAAAAATAAAAACGTTTATAGGGGATACACAGTATTAAAAAATTATATTGACTGTAAATCATGTTGTTTGATGACAATCAAGTTTAAAAATCTGAGATAATTTATCAAATTTAATCACAAACTGTACTTATTGGACTAAATGGCAAGAAAACTCCACGTGCATGTAGGCAACAGTTAAAAAACAGTTAAAATGACATAACAAAAAACACAACAGTTAGACTGTTCATTTATTGGTGATTATAATGTGGGCGTGGCATTCTTAAATCCTGCACATTTCATATTTTTTCCTCGGTCGCCGAGGATTGGGCTGGTGCCATCCTCAAAGGTCAAGTTGACGACTCCAACTGGGATGACAAGAATACAGTTCTGATTAGTGAAGTTAGAAAACGTTAACTACACGAATATAAACAGATGGAAAAATGGACAGAAAACTGAATTATTCAGACTGTCATTAAAAAGTACACACAGACATCTGCAACTCAAATCATTTCTATATTATTATAGCGTCACCACAGAGATGGATGTTAGCCCAACACGATTTATGATTGATTTAAGAAGGACGTACCCAGTTGTGAGAGTAAAGAAAGAAGGAAAGAGCAGCAGCATATGAACGAATAAATGCCGTTAAATATTCGAAAATGTCCATCACTGAAACATCAAAGGTGTAATAGGGTGCCATTTCTGACAGATCATACCTATTGGCGTGCTGATGGCTCTGTCCTCTATAGATTTTCCTGATAGAACTGAAACCAGATAAATGAGAGAAAAACTCATGCCTCTTGGTCGGAAAGAAACACTAAGGTCGAGTGGACAGCAGTTTCGTTTCGAGCAAAACTGCTTTAAATAAACAAACAAAAAAAATAAAAATGTCTCTGCCTTACCTTGAGTATGAGGCTTTAAAGTGTAAGAATAAGGAAAAAGGATTTACCCGTTTTTTCGAAAGAAAACTGCACCGTCCGATTGTGGGACACTTCCTTGGATTTGTACGTACGCCTGATGAAATGCAAGCACAGACGTCGACATCATTTCCAGCATGAAAAACTTTTGAGCCTTACAGTAAAACGATTATTTACAGATATAAAGATTTCCAGATGCGGCTCTTTAATGTTATTTGCGTTTAGCGGGAACCTACCTCTCAGTTTGTGTCAGTCTAGTCGGCAGACCACTTGGACGTGGGGGCTGTGGAGTAGCGAATTTTTCCCGCAGAATGGGCCTGGCCCTTGGTGGCGAGTTCAAGACTATACCCTGTGTGGAGATTGAAAGTCAATGTGTTTTACTGGGGGAGGAACTCAAAAAAATATCGAGGTCTTCAACAGAATAAATATAACACTGTATACAGTTCTTTATTTTTTTAGGGCAGCGATTATCAACATATCGAGGTCTTCAAAAGAATAAATATATCAATTATTTTTTTAGGGCAGCGATTATCAACTGCAAGCCATTCCAGCCCACGACAGAATTCCAAAATAAAATAAGCATAAAATAATAATAAAATAATGTCAGAATTATTATTTTTTTAATTTAATTTTGTTTGAGTGTCTGTCTAGAAAATACTGGCAGTCCGACAAAGTTATTAAAATTCAACTCTATGCTAAGGACTACTGCAGCACTAACCTCTGCTGTAGGGGTCCTAGCCTCTCCAGCAGGGGGGCAGTTTTCTTCCTCCATCTCTCTGTTCTTCTCAGCGTTCTTCAAAGCGAACTCTAACTCCTCTGCCAGCTGCTCGTCGCCCGCGAAAAACTCTTTCACTTCACTGCGGAAGTCCTGCATGATCACCTAAACGAAACAAGCTCATCTTATACTCCAGACGTCACAAAGAAGTGGTCGGGCTGCACTCATGGAACTTGCCTGTAGGGGGCCGGGGGGGTGGGGTGAGTGGTTAGTTCGACTGATTCTATACTCGGCTAGTCTACATGCCACCCCACTTGTGGCCCAGAAAACAGGTAGACGGGTAAACTACCAACGGTTAGTAAGAAGAGTACTAAGAGGTAAACCTAGCCGAGTACAGAAATGTGCAACTATGATAAAGGGTTAACTAGGCGTTATCGCCTTGGCTTCTCTGGGCAATAACCTCTGATCTTATCATCATGAGAATTTTTGAGTTAAATAATTATTGATTATTAATATATATATTGTTGTTGTTATTCTTTTTTGATCGTTCCTGATCATTTAAATTACATATGTCAAACCCGAGACCCACCAAATCTGCCACATCATTTAATGTCTACAGTATTGTTCCAATTGTTTCTGGATGGAAAAAGTAATACAGTGATCAAACTCAAACGTGGCGAGTAATTCTTGAACTGCATTTTAAATAATCCACTGATTCCTCATAAAACATAATAAAAGAATTGACTTAAAATGATTTTTGTCTAATATAATATGTTGTCTTACCTGGAGATAGGCCCAAAAGAATTAACTTAAAATAATTTTTGTCCAATATGTTGTCTTACCTGGAGATAGGCCATGAGGTCTTTCATGACAGTTGAGCGTTTTTGTTCTAGAAGACTCTTCAAGTTGGTGATAATGGGCACTGTGTTCTCTATAAATGCCTTTTTCTGGACCTACAAATGATTGTGAGCACAACAAAAAAAGCTCAGTGACATTCATCAGCTGAGCTGAGCTGATTCCAGCTGTAGGCTATCACAGTCTCATTAGCTAACTTTATTAGCGGTGTCCAATAAGTAGATCGCATAATGAGCGCTGGTAGATGTGGTCGACTTAATCAGAGACCTCACCTGGGACACCAACTTCCTCTGAGCCGTCTGAAGGACTGCCCTGGCCATGTTGTACTCGTTCTCTTCTTCCCCCTCCTCTCCTGCTCCGCCTACAGCTGGAGCAGAAATGGCCTGAAGTTTCATCTCCTTCAGGCTCAATATCTTGAATGTCTCAGATAAAATGGCAGCTCCATCTTCATCCAGAGGCAGCTCTTCATCAGCGAAGCATGCTGTGAAAAGAAATGTACTGCAAGTTGAGTGTATTTGTTAAGCAGGTTATAGGTTCTCTTTTATTGATAATCCAAATATATGCTCACCCAAGATGGAGTGGTTTATCTTGTTACTGAGGTTGAAACGCTGAGCGTCTGTGAAGTGCTCCAAGAGGAAGCGGTAAATTTGAAAACGCTTGTCAAGGAATCCGGCTCCTCTCAGGGAGAACTTGAGCTTTTCACTATAGTGCAGTGATAGATTTGAAAGATTACAGAATTTTAGATTATTTAAAATAAATAACCACAGGGGAAGAAAGAAGGGGTGGAAAGACAAGGCATCTTACCTCTCACTCTGGGGGAACTTGTAAGATTTGTGTTTGTCGTAACAGTTTAAGTGGAAAATGCACTCAATGAAGTGCTGGCTGAACATGTCCGGGTTCTTCTTCAGCAGCAGGTGGAGCAGGCAGTATTTACATAGACTGGAGGGAGGGAATTATTGAAGTGAAAAAGTGTGAAAGCAAACTTTTTACTTCATGTACATTTCACAAACAATACCCTGAGATGTGAGAAAATCATTGATATTATGTCAATCAAATTTGAGCAATGCTAACGCTGTGATATATATATATATATATACATATACATACATATACATATATATATATACATATACATACATATACATATATATGTATATGTATATGTGTATATATGTATATGTATGTATGTATATATATATATATTTTAATTTAAAGTAGGATTTACCTTGCAATTGCTGGTTCTGGGTCCACAAGAGCCACCATGAAGCGAAAGAAGAGCGAGCCCTTCCATTTCACAAATTCCTCCTAAAAATGGACATTTACATCTTACTTTATGTCGACAAGAAGCCTTCGAGTTTTAAAAACACTTTGTTTGATATCATTAGTGTTCTCTGAGAAATCATCAGCAAAATGTAGCTTTTTTTTTGGTATGTTTTTAAAGTATTAATTCAGTTCATAAACACCCCAAGACGGTCATCCGTCATATACATCTCAGACACATTCATTTTCGATGATATCAACACACTGACCTGAAGCAGGTTGGTCAACATAATGAGAGCCTGCTCCCGAATGACTGCTTCACTGTCCCGCAAACAGGCGGAGATGTTGGGGACGTAATGATCCACGATTGCAGTGTATCGTACGCACAGATCGCACATGACGATCACCACGTTGTTGCGCACAGCCATCTCCGTACCGACTTCCAACTCCCTCGCAAACACTGGCAAGTACTTCTGGACTAGTTCCTCATGCTGCAGACACAGTTTACCTGGAAACAACATTAAGAGTCCGTGATTTGCGACACAGTGAGAAAACATTCTAGAAATGGTTTGACATTTACAATCAAGTGAAATTGTTATTACTTGACAGTAAACCACTTTATGAGAAATCTGAGATAATGATAGTTAAGGTAAAAGTGTCAAAGTAACAACACTTTAGCACAAAATGCCACTTTATCTTCACACACATTTTGAATTAAAATCGCTCTTAGTAATGTTTAACATATATTTATATCTCCGTAAACATATGAGAAAGTATATGAGTGACATGTTACCTAAAGTGAGGACCCCCTGGGCTCTCACTTTTGTCGGGAGAGCGTTTGCTCTAAATTGGGACAGAGGCTGAGGCAGGCAGTTTGTCCTCGAGGTCTGTCAAAAAAGGAAAAGTAACCAATAAACCAAAGGAACAAATGATACCGATTCTACAGATAAAAACACACAAACAAGGGATATATGGACAAGGTTGTACAAATATTTATTATAAAACAAATGTGCCATGAATGATGCAATAAAAAAAAAGTGGAAGTTGTAATTCTATTAAATTGAGCTCTGTCTATTTTAACATTATTTATCATCGCTCTGTAGCACAGTTGTTGCACAGTCTGAACCCTTTAACCTATTAATATTACAGTATACTGTAATTTTGGAGTTTTTTTTTATCATGGAAGGGTTACATTGAAAGCCACTAATATTACAGTATACTGTAATTTTGGAAAATATTTGATGTGATATCAGTTAATAACTCAAATTAACACTCATCCTCTCAACAGTGTGCAGTTAAGTCTTAAGCCTTTGTACCTTTCAGTTTGTCGGTATTTGTTGTAAGAACGGATTCCACAAGAAGCACTGTTCTTTTCCCCACCCTGGTAGGACATTGCAATGACACCACACCCAGTGTGTGGAGGTGTTTTATCTAAAAGGAAAAAAGTAAATGTGAATTCAAATTTGTCAAACACAAAAAACATGAATAAAAAAAAAAAAAAAAAATCATGTTTTTGTCACATCGTCGGCTTTTCATGGGGACACCAAAAATCCTCACCACGAGATCCTAAAACATCATGATGTTACTATAAAGCTTTTTTGTTGTTGGTAAGCAAGCGGAAAATTTACGTGTCACAGTATCACTGACAGCAGCCAAAGTATTTTTTTTTAATGTAAATTAAAGAGAAAAAAAAAATTAAAACTTAAATATTACTTCCAAAAATCAAAATAATTCATTAGTTCTTACCATTTGCTCTTCATTAAGGTTCTGAGCTCCGTTTTCACTAAGGATGACAGAGGCCAAATAAGCCTCGCAGGCGGCCACCAGTTCGCCTCCATGATCATTCAAAAATGCCTGAAAAATGACCATGAGTTGAAATAATCTCTAATTCACAAAGATTTAGCCAAACATTTAACGTTCGTACTGACTTCTTCTTCAATCATTGACTATTTAATGATGCTTAGTCGAACCATACCTGAGTTTGTTTGATGTCTTCATCGCGACCGAGTTGAAAAAGAGTGTCCACAGCAGCACTGATCACTTCTAGTGACATGTCAAACCTCTTCAGCCGAGACATCAGATCATCTGGAGAACATTTAGAGATTCGAGAGGACGCTGTGTCTGACCAGTAGAACGCCTCAATTATGTCATTAACGTATCACTTACCTATCATCCTCTCTTTGGTGTCTTCATTTAAATGCGCTGCAATGTTCCCAATGACACACAGAATATGACAGCAGACTGTCACATTTATTTCCCGTGAACTATCGAGGAAAGCAAAAAAAAAAAAAATATATAAATGCATCTATTTTATATAACGTTTTTGGATCATGTACTATACCATATGTAGTGTCCCCCACCCCTCACACCTGATCATCCTGTCCCAGGCGTCCACTATCTTTTCCAAGGACGGTCTGGCAGAGAAACTACCAACCTTGGAGAGCAGCAGCCAGGCTCCGCTGGCATGTTCTGCCTCAGTGTGTGAGATGAGGTTGGTGATAAACGATGGCGTGAACTTGTTTTGTTTCGACCAGATGCTGAAAGCCTTGCCTAAATAGTTGCTGGAAATGGCAGAACGATAAAGAATTAAAGCTACAATAAAGTTACAATTTCTCAAACAAAGTTTGTTCAGCTCAGAAAAAGACTATCGGGTTATGTTTCTTTTAAGACAGGGGGTAACACATGAGAGATAGATTTAAGACATAAGCCTGCAAATTGGAGGGTCTTACATAAACACAGCAATACAGATACATCGTTTCAGTAACTCGGGAGAATGCGTTACCAAAGATTTTTGCAGTCTTGACAAAGCAGCACCAGCAGGTCCCAGGCCAGCCTCTGAAAGGTGTCCTGGTGGGACCTAGAAGAGTACGACGTGATTGGATGGAGAAGCATCTGTTCCAGGGCTTCTAAGGCCCGGTCCTGCACTGTGTTTTCGGAGTCCAAAACCACCGGCACCACACCGTGCAACCACGCCTTCTGCACTGCAATATTCAGTGGATTGGCCTGCAGGTCAACATAGTGGCAAAACGTGATTCACACAGATTAACAAATTATTTACTATAGATATCCAAAAAAAAATAAAAAAAATAAAAAAATCAAGCACTATAACTGAACATATTGACACGAAAATTATTGCCAGTATCGGAAGCACTCTTAGACCGGTTTGTGAGCCTGGGAGCTGCAAGGGCTGTGGGACTGGGTAGGTTAAGACTATTGTATTATTGAACTTTGTTTCAATTTTATTTACAATTTATGTAATTTAAAAAACATGTTTACATTAATTGAATGTATTCATTTTATCTTATTTATATATATATATTTTTTACTATTATTTGGTGCAGCTTTTACATATACATTTTTAATTGAAAAAAGGACAATTGTTTTTTTCTGAATGAGAAAAACAATTGAACTGAAGACATTAGCGAAGACTATTGTATTATTGAACTTTTTTGTTTTAAATTTTATTTACAATATATGTAATTTAAAAACATGTTTACATTAATTGAATGTATTCATTTTATCTCATCATTTATATATGTATATATATATATTTTTACTATATAACTATTTTTACTATTATTTGGTGCAGCTTTTACATATACATGTTTGATTTAAAAACAGGACAAAAGTTTTTTTTCCGAATGAGATAAATTGTAATGCCTTAGATGTTGAGCTACGACTTACAGTGAGCAGCTCTCCCATGCACTGTAGGGTCTTCTTCCTAACGGACACGGCTGGGTCTCTGCAACGCTCAGACAACACAAACAAGTTCTCAGAGCTCGCGGGGATCACGTCATGTTTAAGGAGACCCATCAAGGCCTGTTTAAGAAAAAGAGCAGAAACGGGGGAGTCAAGGTCACAACACAAAGCCGCACTTGTGAATGATCAGCTGAAGTTTTGAACTGTCATACAATTTCTATCATCAGTTAACGCTCCCATGAGGTGTTAAGGTTTCATCTTCCGATACCTGCAGTGCTGATTTTCTCACGCTCGTCCTTGAGTCCTTAACTCGCCGGAAGAGAAGAGCCAAGTTCGCTTTTGCTGTAATTTAAAAAAAAAAGAAAAAAAAGAATTAGGATTTGTCAAGCTTACAGTCTGTAAGATTGTAACAAATATCAAACCTCAAGAAAGTATTCTTACAAAACATTCTTACCATCGCTGCCTAAGCTCTCACTTGAGCCGACCTCTACAGTCCTGAAGGTGATAATACGGTAGGTTTTCTGCTTGGCATTAAAACTTCCTGAAACAAAGATATGGTGTTTAAAATACATCAGTTTCTGGAGAAAACATAAGAGAGTAAAAAAAAAAAAGCCAACACTTTTATCACATTTGAGATTTATTAATAAAGGACTATTTGTTTTTTGGTCATTTTAGCACAAATTATTGTTTCATTCAATTCCCATTTTTGTCTCAATATCGAGAACATATTTACTAAATAAAAGAAAAGGTTGTACCTTGCGTATTTTCATCTTCATGCACTGTTGAATTTCCAGCTATCAAGAGAAAAAAGTATGTTAGGTATGGATGCAGTACTGACAAGAAACATGTTCTAAGCTGTACATATTTGTGTACACACGCCTGACTTACTTTCATTGAAAAGGTTGTGGATAGCCTGCGTAACGTTCATTGAAGGGATTTCTAAACATTTGGCCAAAGAGGACAGAGCATGGCCTTGAACTGTGGGGGATTCATCCATCTGTCCACTGAAGAGCAGGCTCTGGATCAGGAGCTTGTGTTGCAGAAATGGGGCCAGTCCTGGGTCCTGACACTCCTCTGGTTTTCTCTCTGGCTCTCCCAGCAGTGCCACTGCCACATCCACAGCAAAAAGTCGACAGGCCATCTAAAGGGGATTATACGCAAATGTTTTGTTTCCCCACTGTTGGCAATTTTTTTCAATGAAAATTCAGCCTGGGGGGTGCTGCAAAAAAGTTTAAGAACCAATGTTGTGGTCGAAGATAACCAAGCCTTCTTTTGGACAGTCTGAGTGCAGGACGAGTAATAATAATAATAAAAATAATACATTTAAGCTATCTCATCAGCCCTAGACACAATGTGCATCTATCCACAAAACAGCTAACATCACCATATCCATGTGATTAGAAAATTAAAACAACCAATGATAAACAAATCCAATGATGAACACATGATGAGGCATGGTAAACATATGGTCACATGAGCAAACAAGTCATAGGGACGAGAATATCTAATGGGAAAAAAAAAAAAGATGTAAATTATAAAATAATTCACCCAATTGTTATCAGGCACTCAATGAGCTACCTTACCTTAGGGTGTCGGCTGAAGTTCAAAAGCCACCGAATGAAGCGACTGTAGTCCGTGTTCGTCATCTCCGATGTCAACATGCTCACAGCCTGGGCTCCGTGGCTGCGAAACTCACTCTTTTCAACCATCTGAATATCCAAAAACACATATATGAGCAGTGTGTGACTGGTCAGTATGGGCAGAGTTGTAGTAAAATATTTCATTCATGAAATTATAAAACACACCTGGACACAAATATGCTGCAACAGGATATGCAGGAAGGGTACGGCTAACTCCTTCAGCTCTTCCACAAGGTAACTGTCCACAGAAATATGAGGAGTAAGAAATGCTGCAAAAACTAAATTTGAAATAAAATGGTTTCAGCGGCTTCAGAATAAAGCCTTTTCCTACACAAACTATAAAGTCATATTAATTTTTTTTAATCTCCTTATTTACAAACCTTATGCTAAGATTATCTATTTAATAAAAAGGCACCTTACCTAACAAAACTTATAGTTTGGTCTCGAGTGGATAAGATGGCCTGGTTGACGACAAGGAGGGTCGGCTTTTTTCGGTTGCCTTTACTCATCATCAGGATCACATATAAAAGTTGGTGGAAAACCCTCCGCAGTGACTGGAATAGAAAGGCATATTTCATAACACTAGGAAATATTATCTAAATTTTCTACTCTAGGTTTATGTTCATTTGCTTTTACCTCTTTCGGATCTCCGTGTTTTGGTGAGCAGAGCAACTGCAGGCCATAGAAGGCCATCTCAGGAACGCACTTCAGCTTGGTGATGTCTCTGTGCAGAGAGCAGACAAATATCCTCCTTTATATCCTCCAGTGATCGTCTTGCTGTAAAGGCAAGCGTTCTACCAACATGTTTTCCACTGTGTTTGACTAAACACGATAGATTAAAAAAAAAGAAAAGAAAAAATACTTACTTCACAGGAGCAAATTCTATCTCCCCAATGACAGGCTCAAAGTACAGCAAATTACTTAAAATCTAGAAAGAAAAATCAAAGTAAATATGTGAGAGGCTAATTTCAGTTATAATGAAATGGGATGCAGGACTGGGTAAATACCCGTGTACAGTTACTGAGGCTCTGCGGTCTGTCTTTGAGTGAAAGTGTCTGCAGGAGTTTGAGGAGACTTTGAAGCAAAAGAAATAAGGCGTCTCTGATCTTCATCAGGTCTGAGCCAGAGAGATGAATCTCCTCTTCTTCTTCCTCGCCTTCCTCTTCCATCTAAGGAGAACCACGAGCCAATTATTAGGTAACATTTTTCATAACTACAGTGTGAATGAGTAAAATATACTGAGTCTGAGTGATTCCTTTCACTGGTACGTACATCTGTAAGGTCTTTCCTCTGAGGTCTGGAGCGTTTGCCATCTGCTTTAGAACTCTTTGAGCCGTCTTTTTTACGTTTTTTTCCTGAGTTCTCAGGCCAACAATGAGAGCTCAAGTCCAAACATGTATCAAACAAAATCTCATGGAAAACCTTGTTGGCAATACTCCCTGAAACAAAAACACACACACACACTCTTTTCTTTTACAAAAACTATAACTATATTTATATCATTATTATTATTATGACATTTCAGTTGCCAGTAGCTCTACATAAACGGTTATAAAGTGTTTCTCACCTGGCATTCCCAGTAACAACAAGTAAAGTGATGCTGCATGCAGGCTGTTCAATCTCTGCTCCACTTTGGCTTTTTTATTTTTTCCAGTAAGGACAAAAAAGGAAAGAGCAGCCACCAAAGACTTGACAGGCACATTGTTCTCCCCCAGGTATGCCCATATATTCTGTAAAACAAAATAATACCTCATGGAGTTTCTGTTCTTGCCAGAAAGAGGAAAAAAACCCAAGCAACAACCAGTTATGTATCAGCAAAGCTTAGAAATGATCTGCACAACACCAAAATACTGCTAAACATGCTAAGCTAACACTGCTAATATAATTTTCCTCTGATTGTCTTCTTTAGAGTTTACTGAGAGGTCAACATCCTAATAGATGCCCTGACAAAATTAACACAATTGTGGGTTTTTAGTGGAGCATCCCGAGTACTGAACAATTGACCTATCCAATAAAAAAAACCTTAAAAAAATAATAACAGTTGTATGTTCCACTGTAAAATAAAATATATTTAATGAAGGATAAAAATAGGTTTTACCTGTGATGCTTCATCCCTGGCTGCAGACTGCTGTAGGCCAGCATACTTAAGAATGCACTTATGGAGGTTTAAGAAGTGCTCTCCTCTGGCTGTCAGTTCTTCATCCAAGTCGACATCAAGTGGTCTTATCTCAGTGAACTCCAAGTCCCAAGCATCATTCACCCACGCTTAAACAACAACAACAAAAACAGTAGTCTGGTGAATATTGTAATCAAGCAGAAAATAAGCAGTGTTTCTTTTATTTTCACTTATTTGCTTTTTTTTTTTAGAACATCATCAAATCTCTTCCATTACCAAACATTGGTATAAAGTTGTCTATCTCAAGGTAAGGACTGCCTTTTCAATTGATGCCACTAGATGGCAATAAACCTAAATCATCTTTGCTTAATAATTGCTGCTCTCAGCAATCTTTTTTAAAATACCGAATACAAAATTTGTGTGAAACAGTTGCAAAATTACATGGCGATGTTTTTATTAAAAGACATAAAAATACAATAAAATGAAACATCCTGATTTCGTTATCAACGTTTAGTATTTCAACATGTGGAACCGTCTGCATCAAAACAAAGTGACTCAAAGTCGACTGGACATTACGATCACAACTGTCACCGCCTCACCATCCTGTTGCAGTAAATAAGTTCAAAACATGTACTCTGTTGCAGTAAATAAGTTCAAAACATGCACTAAATAATCGTTCTAATAGACTGAACATTTATGCACTTATTTTCTATCTACCGTATCATTTATTTATGTCGTTTTGATGTACAATTACAATTTACAAGATATTTTTCCGAGCCATCGACCCCATTTGAATAATAAACATCCCAGATATGTCATGACAATATCCACAAACAGAAGCATACTAAAACCGTTGGCAGTGGTTCGTTTTAATTTATTCTACTACTATGTACTATGCACTACTCTTGTACATGTTTTGTACATATACGAATACGAAACTTCGTACAGACTTTTTCCATCCGTTTGACACGTTTGGCAAATCTTAAACATCATTATCTTTGTCCCGTGAAGTAAAAGTTTGACAACTTATGTTTATGGTATGACAACAAATAACGGCCTCATCGATAAACTTATCGTAAATATGTAGTTATAATATACACGACGTATAAGCTTACCGTCGGTAATTTCACGTAGTTTCAGAAATTGCAGTGCAGATATCAACTCCATTTTGTGTTTGTATCAGCCCGCCAGAAATGTGTATAAGTGCGTGCGCAGCAGGAGAACTCCTCCACGCCTCCGTTCTATACGTCACGCCTACCGGCCAATGGGAAGCTTCTTTTTTGTCAGGATTTGCGAAGGAAACGGGTAACAACGGGTGAACGTCACAAGTCAACTTATGTTGCTAGAATTGTAGTTCTGGTGTTATAATAATAAAATAATAAAAATGTCTATTTTATTTTATTTAAGTAACTGGTGGTATTTGCAGGCTATGTGTCTCCAAACAGGTTACAGTGACCAATGGCCATTCGTTCACCAATGTCCTAGCCTTAAATGTTGTTATAGTGTGGCTAGAGTAGCTATGAGCTACACCAGGTAGGGGCAAACTAAGGCCCGGGGGCCGGCTGCGGCCCGTTCAGCTTTTTATTCCAGCCCTCCAAACATTTCTAAAAAATATAATTTATTTATATTATCATTATACTCCTGCAATACCCACGTTTCCCCAATAGATGGCGTAGAAAAGGATAAAAGCAAAACGTTGCCCACACCTGAGCTACACCAACACATTCTACAGATGAGGTGGTAACAGAGCCACATAATGATGATTAAATGACTAAAACACAACGATGTAATCACTGTAAAAGTCAGCTGTGTTTGTCTGTCTACACCTGGTTGACTGAGGTTAAAAAAGTGCTTTTGCTCCAAATGTAAATATTCCTGCCATAGTGTCAAGTTTCTTTTTGCATGTCCCCATCTGTGTAGGTGAGTTGAACAGCAGTATCTTGTGTGAAAGACTGGCCAGTGCTAAATTAGCATATTCAAATTATGCACGTTAAACTCAACTTTAAACTCAGTTTTTCGACCATCTAGTAGGCAGACATAAATTGAAAGACAACTAAAGGCTAGCCAATTGGGGTTTTTCTCTTCACATTTTTTCTCATTGTGACATTTTAAAAAGGTCTCAGACGTAAATGCTATTCAAACATTGTATATATACATGATGTATATTTATATCTGTACAAACCACTACTATTCAAACATTGTATATATACACATGATGTATATTTTTATCTGTACAAACCACTGTATGAATTGCTGCCACCTAGTGACTGGAGGCTTGTTATCACCTACCATTGGAAGCCCCTCACGCCCCCCCTAGCACATCACCTGCCCCACTATTTGAGAAGAACTGCATTAAATATTTATCTATTGGTGCATTTAGGACAAAGGACAAAATCTTATATCGAGGACCATGCTAATTTGCTAACTAGTCATGAAAATAGCTGGCTCAATCCCGATTACCGTAGCAGTTTATTGTTTGGTGTGGAGTTTGTGTTTGTACTGCGTAACTGACTATTTTAATGTGTCCCTTATTTATTCCCCCCAATAAACTCGCAGATATACATGAATATACGTGTATATATTTATTTATATATGTGTACATAATATATATGTGTATATTAAATATATTAATATATAATTATAATAATAAATATAATATATAAATATATTAATTTATTATAAATTATTATATTAATTTACAGGAAATTATAAAAATGTCCCATTAATAATGGGATACATATTAGGACTCCCATAATCCCAGTCTACAGCAAAGATAATTGTGGAAGATGGAAACATTTGGCTTACAACATAGTATATGTATCCTCTTGTATATGTATCCTGTCCTGCTTTACTACAGTAAACTTGTACAATTAAACTACCTTTACATTTGTCTCCTATACATCCGAGTATTTGACTTTTCCCCTGTGTTTTCTCCAGGAAACCCATGCCCTGGATCTCTGGGCCTCCCACGTCACATCAAGTTTAGGCTTGCTGTAGTACCACTTGCTGAGCAGCTCATCCATCTGCTCCTGTCTCGTTATTCCGTGAAGTTTCTCCTTTTCTGCATCCTCCCACTCCTCGAAACAGTGGCCGGCGATGAACGGGGGAGGAAGGTATACTGACACGTCTTCCCTCATTTCTTCGAAGAACTGCACCACGCATTTGTGAGCAAACTCCCGTGCGTGAAGGACACAGGTTTCATCGAAGAGCTTCTGCTCCACGTCCAGATAGTTGCTCCAGTAACGGGTCTGCATAGAGCTTGCATTGTCGTCCAGAAAGGGCTTAAAGATACGGGCCAGTGCTCCCAGTATGATGAGGAGGAGAAGAATGGACCAGCCAACTGCCTGTTACGGACAAACACACGTCAGTAGACTGCTGCACGCTATAGGCAATCAATAACAAAAGCAAAATATGGTAAAACATATAAACATTTATTTAAAAAAGGAAAAATTAGTGTCCAATACTTGAGAAATTTAATTATTCCCGCAACAAACGCTTATGCGTAGCTGTTTATTACAGACCAGGGTAAACCACACATTTTGATGCAGGGACCAGTACAATCATAACATAATTACCTGTAAATAAAAATTAGTCCAATATTTTTCCCTTTTGTTTTGCTGCAAATAAGTACAAATATATTAGGGAAAAAAAAGTATATTTCATGAAATATTTAACAAAGCATCACTAGCATGCAGTGTTTGTGCATTTTTGCCACTTTTAACATGCATCAAGTGGGCCGTATGAAACCTCCAAGCGGGCTGGTTTTTGCCCAGGAGCCATATATTTGACACCCCTGGGTTAAAGCGTTACTTGTAGTGTTTATTTGAACTTTAGAAAATACACTACTTCATCAGAGTCTCTGATTTTTGGTGGAAATGTTTCGACTCACTTGAGAATAGCAGCGAATATATCGAAAGACCGCCTTGCGGAAGGAGGAGTTCCTAAAGATGAGGTCCTCCTTACAGGGAACTTTGGACATGATGGTCATCACATTCAGATCAGTGTCGTTAGGAAACCCTGAGGAAACACGCAGACTACAGTTGACTTGACTGTATTGCTGTCTGTATTGTGATATGTACTAACTGCAGGGCTTTGTCAATGAACACAAGGTGTGTTAAATACCTGAAAAAAGTGCAGGGTCGACACTCACACTAAAGGCACAGATGAAGATTTTCCCATCCAGCAGTGTGACCAGGATCCATACCATTGGGGCCAGCAGCGCCCTCTGGATCATAGCAGAGAACAAGTACCTAAAAGTAGACATTTTATGATTTTATTGTCATCATCGTCAAGTTTATTTTTATATTGTACATTAGTAGAGTAGATGGCGCTCTGTCATTGGTGGGGAACCCTGTACAAGATCGAATCCCGGTTAGGGCGGTTGGCGCCTTCCAGTGGACTCACCCACTGGGCACACATTTACAGGTATTACTTTACATTTACGGAAAACTTTTATGATGATCTGATGTCAAAATATACTGGGATTCTCAAAAAAAATTATCATTTAAAATACATTTTGTATTTCTACATTTAAACATCAACTTAAAAATGTTATCAAACCACAAGTCTGTGAGAGTGACATTAGGATTTTGCCCAACAACTCAACAATTGCATAGCTGTATTTTAAAATATATTTCTTATTACATATAGGACCATATGAAAATGATATGCAAAAATGTTTTGTAGATACAAACACTGTAATAAAGTGTAGAGAGAGAAAACAAACAAACAAACATGCAATCAGAACGCTGACTCACTTGACCACAACGGGATTCTTCGATCGGTTGCCCACAGGTCTCATCCACTCGTCCATCATGACGCCTGCATGTCTGTTGATAAGGACTCCGAAGAAGAAGAGGATGACGGGCGGAACGATCATCACTCCCAGTGAGTAGAGTTTGTTGTACTGAGGCAGACACGGGCAGTTAAAGTCGAAGCTGGTGTAAAGCTTCACACTGACCAAGGCCAGGATGATACAGATGCCGTTAGAGATGGACTCCGAATTGGACTGGAAGTACTGCAGGACCAGCTTCAGACGCTCCATGGTTGAAAATCAAAACGATGGTCAAAGTGGACTTAACTTTGAAACACTGCACCTGATCCCACAAAATAAACAAATCATGTTAGGGAGGGGAGAAAAAAAAACAAAAGCTTCGTGCAAACAACCAAGCTCATAGAAAGGGCTGCAGCGAATCAGTGCTGACAAAGAACTGCGCGGCCCCACCCTTCCTCATTGTACTGTAAGATGTTTCAAAGAACAGGAAGCTCCTCACCGGACCTCAAACATATGGCTGATCGGGACATGTACTCTGTAAGATTCCCAGAAAGGACATAGTTATCAAATAAGAGTTAAAATGCTTTTTATTTGAACTTTAAACCACGACAACATATAAACCATGTACAGGAAGGCCTGTCCCTAACGTGTTGAACAATAAACTTTTTTTTTGTTTTGTTTCCAACTATGAACATCAACTTCAAAACTTCTATCGAGCAATAAACTTCTTTGAATTATGAACATCAATCTCCAAAACGAAAAGAATCGTCGTTGAACGAAAAGAGTCTGCAAACAAAACGGCATAACCGGAACGGAATTGCTGGTGCAGATTTGAACTCCTCAGCTGTGTGTGTTTTGGTGCGGCTTTCGTCGTTTCAGTAGAAATGCGTATTTTTCAAGTTTTTCCTCAGATCAATAGCGATGACTATTTGGCATCAACCACTTTGAAAACGCCAACTTTCTCTCTCTTCAAGCTCCCCTTGTCTTTGTCTGGAAGTGGAAATAGAAAAAAAGAACAAAAAAAAATCCCGGTTCAGACACCATGATATATTAAAAATGTATTCATAAAATAGAATATTCATAAACAGAAAGAAACTAACAACAGGCAGGTATGTGCGTTTTACAGCTGCTTTTATTTGTGACTAATTCAAATGGTGGAAATATGTCAAGAAAAATATGTAAAATTAATCAAATGTAATTAAAAATAAATAAAACGTAGAAAAGTATCAAAACTTTACACCTAGAACAACAAAAGTGCCATAACATTTGTTTTGCAAATGCTTTAAACAAATATAGTGCTTTTGTTTTAACAATAGCAATTTCTCAAACCTATCCTGACATTTAAGCATACTCATCAGAACGGCATAAGCAGTGTTAAAGCGCACGGAGCAATGGACTTGGAATGGAAATGATTGTGTTATTTAGCATAATTAGCAATACGTACACTCAAGTGTTTGAGTTATGAGTAGCGGTGTTGGTGTCAGTGAAATTCTACTCACTCAGTAAGTCACTGCGATCCAGCAAGATCTCCAGGTCTTTGTCACTGATCAACTTCCCCTTTGATGCTTTCACCTCCCTAAATGAAACACAAGTTACTTCCCATGTCATACATTTCAAGAGTTTGTGTTAGAAAATATCATTTGACAAAGGTGAACAGGAAAAAAAGTATTTCGTTCCTACTGGGCCACATAACTCATTTTTTGCCGTAACTCACATTCTGTATATCGGTGCCTATGTCGCTCACCTACGTTAACACACTGGAAAAACATCATAATGTAGAAAAAAATAAATACATCATTCTGATTTATATCTGGGAGCCATAATGAAGGGCAAAAAGTTCCCAGAAAAAAACAACACAAATGAAAGAAAGTGAACGCAGCGCAATATAGGGCGTACAACCGGTGAATGGAAACATGGCCGCATTCCCTCGCCAACTAGTTCCTGTGCAAAATTAGTTTTTAGTAAAAATTTTGTATTTTTTTTTGGCTCATAAATGCAAGGAAATATTTTTTATACTTTACATTATAAAAATGATCTAAAATGTCATCCTGCTAATTATCGCATCTTTTTTTCAATGCATGCACTTCTCCAGACTATACTGTAGGTCATAGGCAGTGGTTATATAAATGAGGGCAAAGACTTCAACCTATCAAACCATAATCACTGCACGACCCTATGCTTCGGTTTGAACCAAAAGAACCTCCACGAGGGAATAAATCATCTCTTACTTCTCTGGGTCTCTTGATTTAAGCAGATCCATCAGCTCATCCAGATCAATGCAGCTCTTACTTTGGTCAAGCTCTGCTTTCGCACCCTTGAATTTTTCTGGAAACATAAAATATAACAGAAAAAAAAAAATTTATAAACTGCTGGGATTATCTGGAATTACAGTCGTGAGCCTACTCACTCTTGTGAATGACCATTTGTTCAAGCTTTCTTTTGGCTGAAGCCCTCTCCACAATCTTTTGGTCGATGGTATTGGCTGTGACCAAACGGTACACCACGACCGGTTTGGTCTGACCAAGGCGGTGACAGCGATCCTGTGCCTGCAAGTCTGCTTGTGGGTTCTGTAAATAGGAAAAAAAGGGGCGGGGCATAAGAAAGTTTAAGAATGCCATTCTTAAAGACCACAGTACACTGTATTTTATGACGTATTTATACTCGCACACACCCAGTCGCTGTCAAAAATGATGACGGTATCGGCAGCAGTCAGGTTGATTCCGAGGCCTCCCGCTCTGGTGCTGAGCAAGAACAGGAACACTTCGGGATCCTCGGAGAACTTTTTTATCTGGGTAGAAAGACGGACATTATAAAGACTCTCTCAGTCTAACTGTAGACGCAGTTTCACATCAACAGTAGTAAGAGCTTGCTGTAGGTTCTCTGACGAGATTTACGTTTCTTTGGAGACTTCTTTTAGCACCTCAGGGCTGCGGTGTCAAACATGCGGCCCACGGGCCAAAACTGGCCCGCTAGGGTGTTCAGTCTGGCCCGCTTGATACATTATAATACACAAAGCCTATTATGTTCAGGATATTTTTGGTAAAATTACATTTCATTAAATATGAATATTTTAATTAGTGTAAATATTCATAAATTCAACCGAGAAGCTGTAAAATTTGAAGCACAGTTTCAATAGTTTTTTTTCAAAAAACTATTTTTAAAAGTATCCTCCTCAAATGCAAAAATACATAGAAATGTATTAGAAAATAGGAAAGTATTCATTTTTAACCTTCACTTTTCATTGTTGTGGCCTGCTATATCAAAGCAAAAAAGGAAAAAAAACAAACTTTTTTTAGTACTTACATTTTCATCTCTCTCAGCGAAGGACATGCTGCCATCCAGTCGGCTGTACTCGAAACCTCGCAAATAGCAGTAATCCATTAATATGTCCAGGATGGATGTCATCTGGCTGAAGATCAAAACCTGGACAACAGGTAATTACGCAAGTCAGTTATACACAGTACTGGGTTTTAGGTTGGATTAAACAAATGCCCCCTGTTTGTTTGCAGCCTTTGTCTTGCTGAGGTATTAAAGAGCTAATGTTGAGGACCGGGACCGTCTTCAACAACAAACTGGAGATGATCGAACATTCAAGTCGTCCCAATACCTTGTGTCTTGTCACGCCCCGTGTTACCATGGAATAAGATCTGTGACGGTAAAACTATCTACAGCTTTACCTTTGTAGAGCTTGACTGTTGTAGGATAATGACTCTCCTACTTTTGAGCCTCCTACAAAGTCGTTTCTGCTTCAGTTAGCGATCCTGCAATATCCCAAAATTACTCTATTATGTACCGTATTTTCCGCACTATAAGGCGCACTTAAAAGCCTTTAATTTTCTCAGAAATCGACAGTGCGCCTTATAAAAATACCTATTCCTTCTGGTTCCTTCAAAACAACAAATACGGTGACCATCCAGAACAAAAATACCTCACTCTGGAGGGGTGAACAACAACAACAGCGCCCTCCAGTGTCCAACTTAGGTCACTACACATCTCCACAAATATCTGTCCCCTATTGCTGACTGTTTAGTTTCGCTTAATGCGCCTTATAACCCGGTGCGCCTCATGTATGGAAATAGACCCGTTCATTGATATTGCGCCTTATGATCCGAAAAATACGGTACCTATCTATAGTCTACGAGTGGAGCCTCCATCTATGGTGGTGTTATAGATGGTGGGGGTGTCAAACTGATTCGGGATCAGGGGCCACACCACAACCTAATTAGATGTCAAGCAGGCTGGACCAGTACAATCATAACATAATTACATAATTTAATGTAATTTATTTATAATAACTATATATACATATATATATACATATACACATATATATACATATACACATATATATACATATACACATATATATACATATACACATATATATACATATACACATATATATACATATACACATATATATACATATACACATATATATACATATACACATATATATTTTTATATATATTATTTATATATATTTTTTTTTTTTTTTTTTAAATTTTACCTTGTTCCCTCTTTTTTTCAAGGCAGGCAGCAACCTGTCAAGAATTAGAAACTTCCCAGAGCTCTGCACCAGTTGCTCATCAATCTAGGAAAAAAAGAGAGAGCAGAACAGGTAAAAAAAAAAAAAAAAGAATGAAGTGTGAGGGATACCTTAGCAGATGGTTCATTAAAGGTCATACCTTGAACTCCTGTGTGACAGGGTCAATGGGGTACTCCACCAAGTAGGGGTGATTACAGCATCTCTTCAGCAGCATGAGGATATTCTGCAGCTTCAGGTTAATAACAGCATCCAATGGGCTCTGAATGTCCACCACTGCAGAGGATCTGAATGAAGCCAAAATTATAAAGAAGTCACTGAGAGGTGAACGTGTAATTTGGAGGAAAATGTGTATTCAAAGCGGAGAAAATGCCTTTTAGTTAGGCGTGTTTCGATAACCTAAAGTTGACTTATTCAGAGTTGATGTGACTAACCTTTGCTCCATCTCGGTGCGAACTCTTTCTAAATACTTTTCCAGGTCGTATGGTGTGTCCTTTTCAGTTTCTTTGTAATCCACCGGCTTTCGACTGTTACGCTTGGGCCTCCCACTCGACGTTAATGCTACCGGAGCTTCGGACTAGATAAACAAAGACAAGCAACCACTTTAAAAATAACCAAAAAAAAAAAAAAAACTACAACAAAACGTGTTACATATTCTCACATATTTTAAAAATTAGCTAGCTAAAAGACATAATACAAAAGAAATGTATAAAAAATTTGAAAATTCAACAACCCTCGTTTTTTAGTCAAAATCACGCAATTACATAAAAGGAAGAACAAGAGCTAAAACTATGGGATCATTACATGGGATAATTTTCTACGCCATCTATTGGAGAGACGGGGGTATTGCAGGCAAAAAGGCAGAAGTGTAATGATAATATAAATAAATTATATATTTTGAACAAGTTTGTCGGGTGGGATTAAAAAGCTGAACGGTCCGCATCCGGCCCCCGGGCCTTAGTTTGCCCAAGTCTGAACTAGGATGTATGTAGAGAAGACCCCAAAAAAAAAAAACCTGCAGCTTATGTGTGAGCCACAAAATTCGTTGTTCTGTTTGGTACTTGGTACCAAAATACAGTTACTACCTTTCCACACAATCTTAAGAACCAAGACCTGAGAGTGGATCAGCATTTACACAAACAAGATGCAGCAAAGAAAAAAAACAAAAACAAATCAACAACAACAACATTTTTTTTTACCTTTTCCTGCCCGAGCATTTTGGTGATGGTCTTGTTGACCACAGCAGTATAAAAGGCCTCCTGTTTGGCTGTGAGAGGAGCGTAAACGACAATCTCCTTTTTAGGAGGAACCTCCAGGGTTACGTCTGACTTCAGCCTCCTCAACAGAAATGGGGTGAGGATCTAGAAGCAAAGTTTAAAAAAAAAAAAGGAATAACGATCTGAAATCTGTCTGGCATTTTGTTGTCACACGAGTTCGTCAAAATGCACTGCATATCTATCGCTCATAGGTTTACAAACTTGGGAGAATGAATGAATTATCATTCATCTTGGTCATGAGAATGAGGAAAAATGATTTAAAAAAAAATGAAACAATTGGTCAATTCACCTGGTGCAACATGCTTAGGATATTTTGCTCCCGCTCAGCAGCCACGACATTATCAGCCTCGACAAGCGTGTCAATGTCGAACCACGACTCAAAGCTGCACAAGACAAAGCAGAGGTTACCCATTCAATAGTAAACAAAGAGAGAGAGAGAGAGAGAGAGAGAGAGAAAGAGAGGAAGGGGAAGAGAGAGAGAGAAAGAGAGAGAGAGGAA